GCTCTTTAACATTTGGTAAAAAGAGCAAATGTTCACTTGATATCAGAGCATTTTCCCAAAAAGATACAGTATAGCATTTGTACTTTTAAGCCATGGAAAAGTGCATTTTGTGGCACGACAGCTGGGAAATTTGTACAATAAAGGTTAATTCCTCCTGGAAAATTATCAGTCATATTTTTGAGAGTTAATGCAAACCTGCAGAAAGCTGCTTCTTTACCCAGCATTCAAATTCAGTTGCCTTCCTTCATTTCGTTGTCTCTGTGATGCATTGTTGCAGGAGGCTTAGATGGAGCTTTCGGAGATTTGAGGGGACTCCCAGGTTTCACTCGTCCGACGCTTTCCGTGAGGTCCAACCGGCCGAATTGGCCGGAACGCCTGCAGTCGCAGCCTTCCCCTGAAACGCCAGAGTCTCATCAGCTCCAATCCCTGTCCCCCAGGCGGAGGTATGTCGACCGTTCCCAACCTTTGACCTCGTGGGTGTTCGTTTGAGTGCTGTTTTGTTTTTTAGTATTTCTTGGGATTCCTCCCAACCTACATGTTATCGATCACAGTCGATGATTTCTTTCTTGGAACTCAGTATCCACCCACAGATGCTGAAAACCAAAATTGAAAATTTCAAAACTATAAATTGTTCAGCTTTCTCACTTGTCTCTCTGGGGCACTTGCAAGATTTTGAATTAGAAAAGTGACTCGGCTCATGCTCATGATATGGATGAAATTGTGAACAATTTTTGGAAACAATTGCTGTTTTTTTTTTTAGGAAAAATGATTGTCCTCTGATTGGCATAATCGGCTGAAGGGGAGTTTTTAAATTCATTTTTAAATACATAAATTAGGAGGATAGTTCTGTAAAGCTCATGAAACTTGGTTGCTGCCATTCTTTCTCTTTTTTGTTTGAGTACTAAATAGCTGATATAGATTGCTTTGGAATGGGTTTTGGATGTTCTTAAATTATGTTTCAATTATGTTTCTCATGAGCTGGAAACTTTTCCTGCTGAAAGCATTGAAATTGTAACAGTTGGCATAAACTGTGATTGGGGAGGCAGGAAAGAAAATTGTAATCTCCTTCAGTTATCCAATATTTTGCACCAGTAATCCATGAAAACCTATTGCTTTAGATAAGCCATGAACATTCATGTAGGTTTGCAACATACTTTGAATTGGAAGCAAATGATATAGCATGAGGTGAGTGCTTGCAGTATCTGGCTGTCTGATTCATTTATTTAAAATTTTTCCAGGAAGTCAGCTTTGCACGGTTTGGACTGAAATAAGATATTAATGTGTAGTATTGATTAGGACTTCTCTCCATTTGAGTCTACTTGTAATAATGTAGGAATCATATTGTTTTTTTTATAATTTTCATTGAGTTAACTTGTTCCTTCAACTTTGTGGAAGTAAGCTGATTAGATTCATGTATATTTTGGAGTGTAGTTACTTGTACTACAGGACTTTCTCTCCCTCACCAATGTAGCATTCTTGTTGGCCGCAGTCCTCCGGTGAAACGACTGAAGCTTGCCCAGTATTCAAAAGGTTTGGTTTTCATCTAGCTTTAAATTTTCCTATCCCTTCATGCAGCAAATGACTATGTCCCAAAAATGTTCCCCATTTCAGAGCATCAGACAAAAGCCAGCCTGGAGCAGCAGCAGAAGGAGAACGTCCCTGATGTCATGCTGGAGCCAGCAGTTTGTGAAAATGTTGGTTTTTTTGCTCATCCCCTCGTCACATGTAATTTATTGTCCATACCAGGTTCTTTCCTTCGAAGGGCATTCCATCTCAGCATTCCAGGTTTTCCTTATGTGTGTGCCAGGTCCCAGCATTTAGACAAAAATGTTCAAGGTTTTTATCATTGGCACATGTTCAGTTAATGCAATCTTGTGAAATTAACGTAGAATTTGGTAAACCTAAAAAAAAACTTCAAGACCTAAGATGATTTGTCTCTCCTTGATTATTAAGTAAGACCATATGCATGCAGAAAATATAGAAATGTGCATATCCAAGTGGAGTGTGAGGAGAAGTGAAGTTGCTTCAAATTATTGGTCTGTTTGTATGGGTAAGCTCTTGAGCAATGTATGAGAATGCAAATATTTCATTTTATGAGAGTGTTCATTAATACTTATTTAAATCTTTTGCCAGATGATTTTCTTGTTTGCTTTCCAGGTATATTTTGAAAATGGTACCCAAAATAAATGCCTGATTTCCTAGCTGTATTTCCTTTCCTTGATTTCCTTGATTTCCTAAACTTTTCCTAGCTGTATTTCCTTTTAAGTTCCTCTTGTTCCTTTACTTGATCTAGGTGTTTGTGTTTTTGTGCACATCTTGTTAATTTTCCTTGTGAAGACTAGGAAACTATACTTTTAGATGGGATATATTTATCACATTTGTATTGAATCATGAATAATGATTTTTATCATGCTTGATCTGGAAAATATTTTATTTTTCCGCATCCCCAAAATTTCCAGTGTTGTATTGTATGTGCCAAACCCAATCCCTAATGAAAATGGAGGAAAAATATGCAAATTTTACATGTATATTAAAAATCAAGTCTGCAGTGTAGATTAAGATATTCCCTCACACATGTACTGTACTACTGCATGCTGGTCTGTGTTATTGGTGGAGGGCTGCTTAGGTTGCAAGTGTAATTTTAGTCTGAGATGGGGTCAATGACAAGTTTACCAGACTAGTGTTCACGGAGATCTGTCAAAATAATTGCTCACATTTTTAAGGTCAATTTGAGTTCACTCTTGCAGAGTTGCATGCAGATTCAGCTGCAGCTGCTATTAAAAATAATATTAATGGGTTTCTTGGCAAGGAGTACTTGATT